TTTAGCCGTTTTATGACATGAGCTCACCTGTTTTTATGGTCTGTGCCCTGTGGAGCTATGCCCTGCCGTCACCCATCCTCCACTGATGCTGACAGAAATTCTTAGTCAGTCAGTTACAGCTTCTGGCTGGTCTTTTCCTGCTTGTACTCTTGGTACAAGCCTCCAACTCAAAACATCCCAAACCAACAATTAATATCTCCTGCCTCCATCACCTGCTCTATCTAGGTGGGTTTTATTTCTATTAACGGCCCCGCCTTCCTCTCCACCCCATGGGCTCAATCTCTCCCTTGAGCTCTGTGGCCTCCAGCATCAACGAAATAATGTCAATTGTACCTGCCTAAAATCTTCAACGAGTTCCCCTCCTGCCATCCCACAGCATCCTACTTCAGGCCTTTATTATTTCTGCCCAAAACTACTACTGTAATGACTTTCTGCTTTTAAAATGTTTTAAACTGCATTAAAATTATGTACTTTCATGGTAAAATGAACATAGTTCCCAAAAAAGAAATAGTTCTACACAAAGCAGCCCTACAGCACTTCCCTACTCGCTTCCTGCTCCCTGGGCATCAATTTCAACTGGTTAAGCCGTTTCCTCTGGTATTTACCTCCATATTTCTAAGTTACAGATATATCGCTATTTTTTTAGTTTTTCTGTTTTAAATGTTGGCTGTTGACTTTCTTCAATGGAAGGTGAGGACGTGGCACTCTCCTATCCCCCTACAAACACCATACACATAGGCAAATGTATTTCCAAAATAATCATATTGCAATCGGTTAAATCAGTATGCAAAGTACAATTTATGATTATGTACTATTCACAGATGATCCATTACATTTCCTCTCTTTTTTGTTTTCCCTTGACTGCCTCAATCTGTTTTTACTTTGTTTTCTCTGTACCTAGCACTGCTCTATCCCCAGACTGGCAGAACTATAAATCTCCTCTCGGTATATGCAAACACACCAGGTGGGCAACGTCCTTCCAATCTGTCTCCTTGCTGCCCCTCACTTTACTCTCAGTGGTGTCTGGCACACTGTGTCATTCCTGTTCTCAGCTTCCAATGGTTGCCTCCCTAAAGCCAACAGAGTAAAACCAAACTCTGGCCTAACCTTCGAGGCTCTCCCCAATCTATCCTCAACCTTGCTACTACTTGCCTCAAACTCCTTACTCTTTAGCAAAACCTAGGTTTATCTAGGTTTTTAAATACTTATTCCCCACGGAAAGGATCCAGGGCTCCTTGGGAAAATGGCTGGGTCTGGCCAAGTTCAAAGTGACTCTGAAACATCTTGTACCTGACAGTAAGGAACTGCTCAAATAAAGATGGGAAATGTCAAAAGGGCATCAGCATAAAGGGATTCTAACTGGCCCAATCTGATAGTGATAAATATAAAGGAAACTCATGAGCCTATAGGCTCAGAGGGAAAACAAAGAGAACTGGAGAGGGGATAAGGGAAAGCTGTTATTCACAGAAGGCTGCCAGTGAATAAATGTAAAAAGAATGATAGATTCAGAAAATCACCATTTTGCAAGCTCCAATGAAGTAATTGATTCAGAAATAGATCAATAGATGCTGAAATCATTGGATGAAAGGCTGTTGGGAGAATGGGCTAAAAATCTCACCTACTGGGTGCAATGGCTCATGCCTGTAATCCTAGCACTTTGGGAGGCCAAGGCGGGAGGACCACTTGAGGTCAGGAGTTCGAGACCAGTCTAGGCAAGCGTGAGACCCTGTCTCTACAAAAAATAGAAAAATTAGCTGGGTGTGGTGGTGGGCACCTGCAGTCCCAGCTACTTGGCAGGCTGAGGCAGGAGGATGGCTTGAGCCCAGGAGTTTGAGGGTGCAGGGAGCTATGATCAAGCCATTGCTCTCCAGCCTGGGTGACAGAGAGAGACCCTGTCCAAAAAAAAAAAAAAAAAAAATATCACCCTACAGATTACATATTAATTACAAAAGTGTGTAAGCACTCTAAAGGTGGAGAAATCTGGTAGACACCACCTTAGCCAAGTGCTCAAACTTAGCATCACCAATAATGGGACAAACTGACAATATGTACCTCTTGATACAAGGCAATGGGTACACCACATGACCTCTGTAGTAAGAATACTAGCCAAGAAACGTTTAACCTGAATCCCTTAGAAAGAAAACAGACAAATCCAGATTGTGGGACATTCTACAAATAATGTCCGGACCCTTCATAAATGCCAATGACATGAAAGACAACCATCCACCTACCTCCCAAGAAAGGTTCCTAAAAGGAGACTAAAGAGACATGAGAACTAAATGCAATATGTGAACCTAGATTTAATCCCGGACTTGGGGGTGGGGAGAACTGTTATATTATCAGCACGACTTGGGGAAATTTGAATGTTTATAGTAAATAATATCATTGTTTAATTTCTTGGGTATGATTGTGGAATGTTTGTGTTCTCAGGAGATGCAAGCTTAAGTATTTAGTGGTAAAGTGTCTTAGTCCATTTGTGCCTCTATAACAAAATTCCTGACACTGGGTAATTTATAAAGAATGGAAATTTATTTTCCAACAGGTCTGGAGACTGGGAAGTCCAAGATCAAGGTGCTGGTTCAGCTGTCTGGTGAGGGCTGCTCTCTGCTTCCAAGATGGCATCTTACTGCTGCATTCTCCAAGGCAGAAGGGAGGGAAGGAATGCCGTGTCCTCACAAGGCAGAAGGGCCAGAGAGCCCAACATTGCGAGAAGCCTCTTTTATGAGGTTATGAGGGCCTTACTCCCATTCCTGAGGGAGGAGCCCTCCTGACCTAATCATCTCTTAAAACCTCACCTCTTAATACTATGGCAACACCTGAATTATGGAGGGTACGCCTTCAAACCTTAGCAGTGCCATAATGACTGCAACCTATTTTCAAGTAATTCAGACAAAAAACTGGGGAAAAAGTGTGTATTGAGACATAGAGCAAATGTGGCAAAATGTTAATAATTGGCAGATCTAGGTGAAGGGAATACACCTTTACCAAACTATTCTTTCAACTTTGTGTCGTTTTGAAAATTCTCAAAATAAAAGGTTGGAAAAAATAGAAACCCAATTCCCTGGTTACTCCCCTCCACGTGCCCAGGTACTTTACTGCCCCATCTGTTATTTTAACCTGCCCTGCTTGGTCTTTCTTCAGATTTCCTCACATCCAGACAAAATTGTCAAGGCCCAGCGCAAACGCCACCTTTCCTAGAAACCTACTGATATCCCAGCCTGAGATTCTTCTCTAATGATGCTCCACCTTCACCACTCCTCACAGCACATGCTCCTGTCTCCCTTCTCCACCTCACCAGACCATAAACTGCTTTACAGCAGAGACCGTGTGTCCGCCAGTTGCACTTTACAGAGAGCCCAGGATGTATGTTTGTAACAAATAGTCATCCCTTGTAATCCACGGGTTCCACAGCCGAGGATTCAACCAACTGTGGATGGAAAACACTTTGTGACTTGAGCCTCTGTGGGTTTTGGTAAACTTGGGGGTCCTGGAACCAATACCCACTAGATACTGAGGGATGACCGAATTTATAAAATGAATAAATGTCACTTTCCAAGATGACAAGTAACTTGGGCACTCACCTTTTCCATATTCCAAAGTTTTTTTTGTACAAAATTCATTTAGCTCTGTTGATCTTCTTTAGTGTTCACCCACACGTGTTTAGTCAGGCGGGCCCATATGTATTTTCCTCAATAATTTAAATATGCATATGTATAGGGCACCCCACTACCTAGAGGGAACATACAAGTTATTGGGAACAACTGTGGTCATTCCATGACTCTTCCTCTTTCTCCTCATCCTCTCAACCCCTACCCTGTCAAGGCTCCAGGAGGGTGGTGGAGGTTGCTAGCCTAAATTTCTCAATGAAGTGGTGCTAAAGTGGAAGTCTAAGAGAAGGGTTTCTATTACACCTGTCCATCACCCGACCTGTTCCTTTGTGGGCTCTCCTCCCACACTTACTACACCACGTTCTACCCAGTTCCAGGTAGACCACTCCTGACAGTCTGTGGTCTTCTGAGGGACGAGATTCCCGACCTCCTCGGTGTCCCTGTCCTAGCACCTGGTCACAAAATAACCATGAATGCCAACTGCTAACTCCCCTTGTGACTTTTCTCTCCTGCTTACCTTATGTAACATTTGATTTCAATAATTCCGTTTTCATTTATAGAAATTCTATTTGGTTCTTTTTCAAATTTGCCTGATCATTTTTTATGGTTTCATTCATTATATTTTCAATACCTTCCTTTGTTCAAACACATTAAAACATACTCTATGTACCACATACAATTCCGTGACATTCATTTGACAACTTGAAGTGCACGGTAAGTGTTTTTAAAAAAAAACTAGGGATGATAAAATAGGGCAGTAGAACTTGGATCCTAGTCTTGTCCATGGTACCTGGAGCCCCTATAAGAAGTGAGAAGGATCACTTCAGGGACTATTGCAACGAAATGTAGAATTCTTTTCAACCATGACTCTATTATTTTCCTTAGGAATCAGGAACAAAAAAGAACTCATGGACAGAAGGCAGATTTGTGGGTGCCAGGGCCTAAGCGGAGGAAAAATGGGGAGCGACTGGTTTTGGGGCATGAGGTTTCCATTCGGGGTAATCAAAGAGTTCAGAGGTAGACAGTGGTGATGACTGCAAAACACCGTGAATGCACTTAGTATCACCCAACTGCACACTTGAAAATGGACGAAAAGGTAACTTTGATGTTTATGTACTTTACATAAAACTCATGAATCCCTCCTAAGCACCTAGGGCTGTGGAAAATACATCCTTTGGTTGCATTCCGTACACACAAGGACAGAAGTATGATTTGAACTACATGAAAACTTCAAAGGGAGTATCGAAATCATTCTCATCAGAAATTGCACTCGGTGAGACTGAGACAATTGGCAGGGCCCAGCCTACAGTGACTTCACAAGCACTTAGTCACCACCACCCCCAGCCCTGCCCCCGCAATCTTCAAGAATGAAGCACTCAGATACCAACAAGACATATTTCAAATAGTTTAATTTTAAAAATATTCTATTCAGTGCTAAAATATGTCTTCACTCACTGTTGCCCATTTCCATTTTCTTAAACTTTTTTGAAACAAAAAATAAAATCACAAAGTTCAATTAAACATGCAGATTTCAAAGAAAAGGGAACTTTCTAGAAAGTCTGAGCTGAAGGAGTACTGTGGGGGATGGGTACTGTTGTCAGAACCTCAGATTCTTGCTGGGGCAGAGTCTGTGGCAGGAGGCAGGGGATGCTGGAATGAAATGTACAGGTGCAAACAGAAAGCTGCGTGGGCGTGTGTGGGCGTGTGTGCGTGTACGCGTGTGCTGGGGGCAGGGGATGGTTACGGTGGGGCACAAAGGACTGTCAGCAGCTAGACAGCCCACAAGAGGCAGGACCACCTCAGGAATGGGTGAGTGCCAGGACAGCAAATCTATAAGGACTTTCTGCCCTTATGTGGAGAAAGGCCATTCCCTCCCCTCCGAAGTGTCTCCCCCATCTTTCTTCAACAGCAGCCTATGGGGCCCCAGCCCTATGGAAAATCCATGAATCTACAGTCTCCATTCAAGTTCAAGTAACCCTAGGCACTCTCTTCTCTAGAGAGCAACTTCCACATCTCCTTCTTCTCGTAGAAGCGCCAGCAGTGCAGTCCAGAGGTTCTGGAGCAGAGACTGCTACCTGGAGGTGACAGATGAACCCTGGGATGGCTGATGCTCCAGCCTACTTGGGGTGCAAAAAGGACATGAGCGCTCCTCTTCTCAGGAGCAAGCAGACACAGATGCCAAGGATGGGAAGATGATGCTACAACCCCAAGTCCTATGTCAGCCTCCAGCCCAGAAGCTCACACGTGCAGGCTCTGGACCCCAGAGCTTGCCCTCACCCCAACAACACAGCACGGCCAGAACCAGAATGCAATAAATAGAGGCAGGGGCCGGGAGGAGGAGGGTGCCAGGATGGTGCTAGCTTTCTGTCGCTGTCTGCAGCACTGCAGGTTGGTCCACACAGAAGCGCTTCAGGGGTGGGGCACCTGAGTCTTCCTCTTCCTCGGCAGTCTAGGAGCAGGCAGAGCATGAATGTTAGGGCCCCATCCCTCGGAACAAGAACCTGCCCATCCACCTGAACTACAACCTGGAAACCCACTCTCAACCTTCTCTCACAGATAACCAAACTTCTTCCCCTACCTTATGGCCTGGAGACACCAGTTCACAATGCCACAGATCCAATTTCACATCAACAGAGTCTTTACTGTTTTGACTCGAACCTGGGAAACCCACAGCGACTCCTTACCTGTGTCTCTAGTGGGACTGGTTCTTCCTTTGTGAGGGTGGGCGGTTCATCAGCAACTTCTGATGCAGGCAGGGAGGGCTCTGAAAAAGCAGCAAGGTCAGCCCAAGTGCAGGCCTTCCTGAGGCAGAAGACTACCGAAGAATCTCGGCCTCAACCTGGGGGGCTTTCCTAAGAGTTCTGTGGAGGTGACTTGGAGAACACTGGCCTGGGAATCAAATGTTGAGGGCCTGGCGAGGCCAGAGTCTTGTCGAGGGGTCACAGCCACTAGTGGTAGATGGGCAAAACATGGCTAGATCACAGAGGGCTGTCAACGCCAGGCTGGGGAGCTTGGCCTATTTTTCAGAGATCTGGAACCCACAAAGCAGCTCATCTTGTCATTCTCCAGCCCAAACATCATGATTCTAACCGAGTCTCCCAATTTTCTAAGAGGGCTGCCAGGATTAGATGAAATGATATAAGGAGCTCACAACGTACATGGCAAACAGGAAGCACACAATAGATATGAATTATAATTGGCATTTCCCACAGAGAAACAAGTTCTATTTTTCAGCCTAGTTGTTAACAGGTCACAGAAGAGGAGAAGCTAACAAGGGCCTAAGACATATATACATCTGTTTCTATCTATATTACAAGGAATGCGCAGGATATATCGCAAACAGCACACACTCTGAAGTTAGAAGGTCTTAAACTGACATCCAGTTCCAACAGTTACTAGCTCTGTGATCTTGAACAAGTGATTTCATCTTTCTAAGCCTTAAGTCTCTATTTCTACATCTGTAAAATGAAGACAATAGCTGCTATTTCACAGGGTTGTGGTTTTTTGGTTTTGTTGTTGTTGTTTTTAAACAAACCCTTATGCCACAGGGCGACTTTCTTTTTTTTTTTTTGAGACAGAGTCTCACTCTGTTGCCCGGGCTAGAGTGCTGTGGCGTCATCCTAGCTCACAGCAACCTCAAACTCCTGGGCTCAAGCGATCCTCCTGCCTCAGCCTCCCGAGTAGCTGGGACTACAGGCATGCGCCACCATGCCCAGCTAATTTTTTCTATATATTTTTAGTTGTCCAATTAATTTCTTTCCAATTTTAGTAGAGACAGGGTCTCGCTCTTGCTCAGGCTGGTTTTGAACTCCTGAGCTCAAACAATCCGCCCGCCTCGGCCTCCCAGAGAGCTAGGATTACAGGCTGAGCAACCACGCCCGGCCCACAGGGTGACTTTCGATAGATTGCAGCGAGGGAGGTGGGGAGCTGCTCTGCTATAAATGAAACCCCAACCCAGCAGCAGGCTGTCTAGGAATTGTTTAGCACCAGGTTCCCCATAAACATGCACCGCATGATGAGAGAGGGGGCGGCCACATTTCTGGCTACACCCCATTTCCAAGGATGAGGGGCTCACTGCACCAGACCCCAGTCCTGGTGTGCAGTGGGGCAGACCACCGCTCACGGCGATTTCGAGGGAATTATACCAGGCATACAACATAAAAGTTCCTTACACAGAGCCTGGCACTCAACTGTATCGCTTGTTTTCTCCCTTCCCTCTGCGAAAGGTAAAATACAATCATTCCCCAAAATATCCCAAGCTCTTAACAAGAGGCTTGATGCTGCCAGGCTCTGAGGCACACTCTGTACTCTACCTTTTACTCTAAAGAAGAGAAACATCGAGAGCACGAAGCAAGGCTCCTCCTCGACGCTCAGCCTGGGTCAACCATGACTCACCCTCAAGGATCTCCTGGCCCAGGGTTGGGGGCTGGGAGTCATCTGTGCGGAAGTCAGAGGTGTGTGCCGGGCTCAGGGACTCGCTCTGCTGGGGGCTGGGGCTTGAGTTGGTGCTGCTGTCCACCTTGAGCTGATAGACATCAGACATAGAACTCTGGTTGCTGTTTTCATCTGCAAACCAAACACAACGAAGGCAACAGCTAAGGGTGGTCATTTCCCCCAAGAAGAATTCAGTATAGAGCCAGGGACCTGGCATCTCCTTAGGCAGCCATGACACAATCTGGTACGATAACCACTGCTGCAGACACTCCCTGAAAAGGCAGACACTCTTGGGGCTTCTATGCACTGCAAATTATCAGCGGAGTCTAAGTTGATTAATTTAAACATTTTCTATTTCACAACATATATTCTAAGTACCAGATACAGCCAGAATCTTTAAGTTTATGCAACATTAATACTTCAGGATACGCTTATTAATCTCTTCTTTATTAGCCACCAGTTACAGCCTGGACCTGGTATTTTCTCACTGCCTGGTGAAAGGGAACCCAGAGTTGTACCCCTACTCAGTACTTCTCTATCTTCCCATTTTACATGATGTGCAGAAAACGAAACGTGTCCGGCACCCTCAGGTATCTGAAGGAGGCCTGTGGTGTCCGGAGGTAGTCAGCGCAGGCCTTGCTGCCCGACTGCCCCAGGACTGAGGGATTACCACCTGGAGTTCTGTCCACAGGCTGAAAGTCACCACTTAAGTTGAAAAACGTAAGATTTAACGACTCCGTCCTCTCCCTCACCTCCAGCAGCCAGTCACCAAATCGGATCTACCTCCTACTCTGGTATCACTTGCGCTCATTCCTTCCTCTCCTGCTGCCTCCGTCCAGGCCTCATCATCTCTGGCCTGGCCTCCCATGAAAGCCCCTAACTAACTGCCTCCAGTCTCATGTACTCCAAATTGAACTTCATACCACTGCCAGAGTGATCCTTCCAAACCCTTCAGTGGCTCCTTGCTGCCTCAAGGATAAATGTCACACTCCAGTGCTTCTGAGGGCAGGCATGAGATGGTCCGATCACAACATACAAAGTCCTTTCTGACCTCTGGCCTCACTGCTTGCCATTCTCCCTTAAGCACCCTTGGCCGCAGCCAGGTTGGACCCTACCCCGAGCGCTGCTTCATGCACAGCTGCTTGTGCTCATCTGCTCCTGGTGCTGAGACCACTTTCTCCTTCCAGTCTCCCTGGAAAGGCCCCGACATTCCAACACTCAGCTCAAGCAGCACTTCCTCCGAGGAGCCCGGCCTCCCTAGGTCACGCAGGAGGAAGTGACCACCTTCTCTTATGCTCCTGTTGTTGCCTGTGCACAGCTGCATTCCCTATTTTATACTCCTCTTTGCTTCCATTATACTCTGTGTGGGCAGGCTCTGTGGCTTACTTGTCCTTGACGCCACAGTGCCATACATAGTACCTGGCACACAGTAGGAGTTCATTAAATGTTTATGGAATGAAAAGGAGGAAATGGAGCCTCATGAGTCTCCTAGAGCTTTACAATTATCAAACAGCCTGCACATAGCTAAGGAGAACCCTCCCTTGCGTTCTCCTTCCAATGGAACAGTAACCTTGGTGGGGGAGGGAAGAGAAATGGGGAGGGGACAACTGCACACAGGGTTAGTGCCCAGCCTAATTCTCAAGGCGAAGCTGTAAATTCACTCTAGTCTTTATTCCTACCAAGACCATTAACTTCTTCCGCGCTAGGATGGAAGTGGCATTTTCTTATAAAAAGAATAAAGCTCTGTCGCTTTTGAGCTTAGGCAAACACTCTTCTCTGAAGACTAGTTTCCTTAAATAGGGATAATAACTGCCTGGTTTATATCACAGGCTGATATATGGATAAAAACGACAAAGTGAAGTAAAAGTGCTTCACAGACAGGAACTGGCACGTGGGAGTAGAAGGCAATATTATGATTGCGGTGCTGACACAGGCGGGGTCGGTTTAGGAGGCAGAACTTGTGCTGACAGTGGAGAGGCAGAAGCTGTGGCTTGGGTAGCCTATGCTAGGGCGCTATCATAAAATACACAGTCTAAAGAAAAGACCTTCTGATCCACGAAGCCTAACATGGGGCCTGCCACTTCCTAGTTATGTAACTTTTAGACACCTAACTTCACCTCGCAGAGCTTCAGTTTCCTTAACTGGAAAATGAGGATACTATCATCTGTCTTCCGGGACTATTGTGAGGTTTAAGTGAAAAGACTCATGTAAGTCTTAGCACAATATCGGTGAAACAGTAAGAACTGAAATGATACATAGACCCATTCTTCTTATTATTAATGAGTTCATCTAAGTTTTCTTTTTCCTGCAAGAAGACGTATGGATGCAACTCACCCTGGAATTCAAGAAGGAGAGAGGAATTGGCTGAGGCATCAGAGGGAAAGCCATTAGGTTCCCGGGCTGCTGAATTGTTCGATTTTGACTTTTCTTTCTAGAAAAGGAAAAAAAGAGGAATATGATAGAGTCAAGCAGGAGACTCACAAAGAGAGAAAAGGGTGCTATGTGAGAGACCACAGAAATCTGGCCTAGAACCGAACAGGAACAACAACAGTGGTATGAGACTCCAAGGACCCAAGGAATAGCAGAGTCCTGGGCAAGGTGCTTGTCCTCAAGCCTCAGTGTCTCCCTCTGTAAAATTGAGGCTTCCAGTGTGAATATCATGAGTCAAAAGTGAGAGGCAGATACATATGCCTCTACTAGAGCATCCTGTGGTACCGTTATTTTGCCCTGATCACAATGTGCTGTCCAGCCCTTCCTTACATGAATGGGCAAGAAACACAAAATATTCATTTAAGGAAGATTCTTGTTTGGGTAGCACAGCAGGAAAAAAAAGTGAGAGAAGAATGGACCTCTGACTGGACAAAAGCAGCAGTCACTGTGCATGTAATGCCAGTAGCGACAGGACCAAGGAGCCCCTGCTAGCTCTGCTCCCATCCGTCATCCTCATCCATTCAAAATGATCACTCCATGTCTTCCTTTACTTATAAAATCATTTCTTTCAAGAAGGATGTGGGTTACACATGCAGAGGAACCAAGTCAGAAGGTAAGCACTAGCTGCCAACAAAGAAGCCCAAGGCAAGGGAAACAATACAAGCATTTGCAAATACAACACAAGCATTTGCAAATGAGAGCAGACCAACAGCCAAAAGCAGAAATCTGGGTACTCTCAAATTTACTAGTTCACATTTTTCATACATGTCTATTTATTGTAGGTGCATTGTACCAGTAATACAATTTTTTAAATAACTCTCAATCCTATCTCTGTGATAAATAAACTGTACCCATGTATGTGTCCTTCCCTTCATGTTTATATGTGGATATTTTAACATAACTGCAAACATTTTACTACATAAACATGATTTTTAACAGTTGCATAATATTCCACATACCATAATTCACTCAATCACTTCCCAACTATTGGACATTTAGCTTTAACCTATTTAAGATTGTGCTTACTTATTGCTACTAGGAATAAAGCCAAAATGCTCAACTTTTACTTTTTTCTGGATTATTTTGTTCAGATAAATTTGCAAAAAAAATTTCTTCTAGATCAAAAAGTATAAACACATTATGTTTCTTGAAATATGTTGCACTTCACTGCTTCCTAAAAGGGCATGGCAATATAGTTGGTGTAGTTTCACAACACCCATATCAACATTCGGTTTTATCATCACTTTTTTCTCATCTCATTTATCTTTAATTTAATTTTTGTGTGTGTGTATGTGCCAGAGTCTCGCTCTGCCCCCCAGGCTACAGTGTAGTGGCATTGTCATAGCTCACTGCAACCTCAAACTCCTGGGCTCAAGCGACTCTCCTTCCTCAGCCTCCCGAGTAGCTGGGACTACAGGCATGTGCCACCATGTCTGGCTAATTTTTCTATTTTTGGTAGAGACAAAGTCTTGCTCTTGTTCAGGCTGGTTTTGAACTCCTGAGCTCAAGTTATCCTCCCACCTTGGCTTCCCAGAGTGCTAGGATTACAGGTATGAGCCACCACACTCAGACTCACTTTTCTGTATTTTAATGATTCTGCGGACATATAAAAAATGCGCTCGCTATAGGGAATTCTGAAAATACAGAAAATCACCTGTACAACTAGAGACAACCTGTACATATATGTGTATGAAAAAGGATCATAATGTAGTATTATAACTTGCTTCTCTCCCCCAACTGACCATATTATAAACATTTTTCTGAGGCATTAAATAATCTTCTACACTTTTTTTTAAGAGACAGGGTCTCCCTCTGTCACCCAGCCTGGATGGAAGTGGTATGATCATAGCTCACTGCAACCTCAAACTCCTGGGCTCAAGCAATCCTGCTTGAGGAGGATTCCTTAATCCTTCTACCTCCTGAGTAGTTGAGACTACAGATGTATACCACCACACCCAGTTAATTTTTTTTTTTTTTGAGACAGGGTCTCACCATGTTGCCCCAGCTGTCTTGAACTCCTGACCTCAAGGGATCCTCCTGCCTCAGCCTCCTGAAGAGTTGGGACTGCAGGTACATGCCACCACACTTGGCTAATTTTTCTTTTTTTTTTTTTTTGAGACAGAGTCTCACTCTGTTGCCTGGGCTAGAGTGCCGTGGCATCAGCCTAGCTCACAGCAACCTCAAACTCCTGGGCTCAAGCAATCCTCCTGCCTCAGCCTCCCGAGTAGCTGGGACTACAGGCATGCACCACCATGCCCGGCTAATTTTTTCTATATATTTTTAGTTGTCTAATTAATTTCTTTCTATTTTTAGTAGAGACAGGGTCTCGCTCTTGCTCAGGCTGAGCTCAAACAATCCGCCCACCTCGGCCTCCCAGAGTGCTAGGATTACAGGTGTGAGCCACCATGCCCGGTCTAATGTTTTAAGAGAAGGGGTCTCGCTATACTGTCCAGCCTGGCCTCAAACTCTTGACCTCAAGTGATCCTCCTGCCTCAGCTCCCCTAAAGTGCTTGTGTTACAGGCATGAGCCACTGTGCCTGGCCCAAAGTTGCTTTTTCCCCCCAAAATATTAAGGGGTACAAATATTTCTGTTACATGGATAGCTTTCATAATGCTTAAGTCAGGGCCAAAGTTGGTTTTTGGGGTTTTTTTTTTGGCAGGGGGAGAGGGAAGAGAGGAGGAGAGAGAAGAGGAGGAATTCGGTCTGACAGGAGCAGGCCCAGCCTCTCTCTAAAGTTGTTTTTTTTTTTTCTTACCAATTTGATCATCATTATTTTCCATTTTCCTGATCTAACAGATCTATGCTAGAAGATGGCACAATACCATGGACCACTGGAGGGTAGGATATATTGATGGACCTCAGAGCCCAGCTCAGCAACCAACACAGTCACTGTACAGAGCCCTTGGGAGAGACCAAGGGGGCTGAGTTGTGGGGAGGAAGATGAGGGGCTTTCTAGCAGTGTCCTTCCCCCACATATACACACTGCCCAAGAGATTTCACTGCCTGACCTTTCACCCCATGGGTAATAGCATCACTGCAGCGAGGGTGTGGAGTAGAAGGTTGCGCCAGAGCCTCCTCACCCGCTACCTTCTTGGGTTTGGCATCCCAGCACTCCCTGGGATGACTGCTCCCAGATAAAGGCAGCACCTGGAGTACTGGTACTTGGGGGTTCTCTGGGGCAGGTGAAGACAGCAAAGGGCAAAAGGGAAAGGCTGAACCCTGAGGCTAACCCAACCCCCTAAATTCACTTGCAGGAGGGAAAACTAGGACTTTGGCTCTTAGGTCCTCCTCTCAGTTACATACTACCAGCTAATGCATTTGGGAGTCCCAAAAGAATAAAAGATGAGTGCACAGAAAAAACTAACCAGACACTGAAGGAAAACAAGCATCGCAAAAGACAACAAACAAAAATTCACACCAGAAGCGCAGACTAGTGGGCAGCAGAATTGAACTTAAACACAGCAGGTCTCAGAAAGATAAGGATGATACTGAAAAGTTGTTTTGAAGAAGAACCAATTGTGGAAAGTTTGTATGCAAAATATAATTGATCAAAATAAAAAAAAATTTTTTTTTTTTTTTTTTTGAGACACAGTCTCACCCTGTTGCCTGGGCTCGAGTGCCATGGTGTCAGCCTAGCTCACAGCAACCTCAAACTCCTGGGCTTAAGCGATCCTTCTGCTTCAGCCTTCCAAATAGCTGGGACTGCAGGCTAATTTTTTTTCCCTACTTTTTAGTAGAGACAGGGTCTTGTTCTTGCTCAGGCTGGTCTTGAACTCCTGACATCAAGCGATCCTCCCACCTCGGCCTCCCAGAGTGCTAGGATTACAAGCATGAGCCACCGCGCCAGGCCCAAGTTTTCTTTTTTTAATTTCAGTAAATTTAGGGGATACAAATGGAGTTTTTTTTTTTTTTTTTTTTTAACATGAATAGACTGTATAGTGGTAAAGTCTGGGCTTTTAGTGTACCTATTACCCAGACAGTGTACACTGTACCCAATAGGTAATTTTTCATCCCTCACCCTCCTCTCACCCTCCCTGATGCAAGTTTTCAAATGTAGCAGCCTGAGCAAGAGCAAGACCCCATCTCTACTAAAAAATTAAAAAATTAGCTGGGCGAAAAAGAAAACTTGAATCGGTTTTCTTAGGCAGGGGTATTGCTGGCATCTTGGACAGGCCAATTCTTCAGTGTACAGGACCGAGTCAGGCACTGCAGAAAGCTGAGCATCACTGGCTAACCGAACAACGCTTTGCCAGATTTATAAACATTCCTGGCGATGTGGGGAAAGGGGGAAAACTCAGCACTGGCCCCTGTTAAAGAACCACTGAGCTATCTGAAATGGATACCTTTAAGGAAATATATATAAAACAGCCAAAAAAGGAAAAATCTATATACATCAGTCACCATTAAAACCACTGTAATT